AGGAAATTTGGGGAGTAATGGAAGTTTTGAAAGAGCTACTTTTCCATCCATTAGAAAAAATGCTATGAGGTTTCTAGGGAAATTTTACCAAACGATTAAGGAACAGACATTCTTTACAGTGGACAACCTGGCAGACAACACAACAAATGATCAAAGTTAACATCACTTGTAATGAGGCAAACATACACGTGCCTCCTGATAAAATGCACTGAGAAGGACAGAACATCATTTCTGTGGTATTTGTGACTAAAAATGCGTGGCCTGAATCTAGTCATGACAAAATACAATTGAGAGATGTTACATAAAATAAATAGCCCACATCCTTCAAAAATATAGGGCTTAAGAAAGAAAAAGACTGGTAAATTGCTCCGGATTAAAAGAGACTAGAGGAACATGACAACTAAATGGTGTGTGATGCTGTATTGGATTCTGAACCAGAAAAAATATTTTTCTAGAAAAGATATTATTGGGAAAACTAATAAAATATGAATAAGGCCTATGGATTAGATGATAGTATTGTATCTGTTAATTTCCCGATTTTGATAATTGTATTGTGGTTACATAAGGCTATGTCCTTGTTTTTAGGAAATATACACTAAAGAATTCAGGGTTAAAAAATATATCTACAACTTACTCTCAAGCACTTCAGAAAAATATGTATATCCCTCCAGGGAATCTAGGTATGTAGCAATTTTTGTAGTTTTAAAATATTTTTTTTTCTGAAAATCTATAATTCTTCAAAACAAAATGTTAAGTAATAAACAACCGATAATTCTAATTTTGTTTAAATTTATCTGGAGCAAAAGAAAAGGAATATATTTTTCCAATTTCTTTTACATAATGAGAATAACTTTAATAAAGCCTGATAAATATAGAGATGAACAAAAAACTGTAGACCACTGTCACTTATGAATACCAATAGAAAATTCTAAAAATCACGCTGGCAATCCCAGAACTTTGGGAGGCCAAGGCGGGCGGATCACTTGAGGTCAGGAGTTCACGACCAGCTTGGCCAACATGGTGAAGCCCTTTCTCTACTAAAAATACAAAAATTAGCCAGGCATTGTGGCCTGTGCCTGTAATCCCAGCTACTCGGGAGGCTGAAGCAGGAAAATTGCTTGAACCCAGGAGACAGAAGTGCGGTGAGCCAAGATCATGCTACTGCACTCCAGCTGGGTGACAGAGTAAGACTTCATCTCAAAAAAAAAAAAAAAGTGCAGCACAGCAAAAGAAACCATCAATAGAGTAAACAGACTATAGAATGGGAGAAAATTTCTGCAAACTATGCATCCAACAAAGATCTAATATCCCGCATCTATAATAAACTTAAACAAATTTACAAGAAAAAAAAAACCCTATAAAAAAGTGGGCAAAGGACATGAACAGACACTTTTCAAAAGAAGACATATGTGCAGCCAACAATCATATGAAAAAAAAAAACTCCCGAGGTGGGTGGATCCCTTGAGGACAGGAGTTTGAGACCAGCCTGGCCCATATAGCGAAACATCATCTCTACTAAAAATACAAAAAATTAGCCGGGTGTGGTGATGTGCCCCTGTAATCGCAGCTACTTGGGAGGTTGGGGCAGGAGAATCCCTTGAACCCAGGAGCTGAAGGTTGCAGTGAGCCGAGATCATGCCACTGCACTCTAGCCTGGGTGACACAGTGAGATTCCGTCAAAAAAAAAAAAAAAGCTTAACATCACTGATTATGGGAGAAATGCAAGTCAAAACTACAATGAGATACCATCTCATACCAATCAGAATGGCTGTTATTAAAAAGTCCAAAAAATAACAGATGCTGACAACGTTGTGGAGAAAAAAGAACGCTTATGCACTGTTGGTGGGTGTGTAAATTTGTTCAATCATTGTGGGAGACAATGTGATGATTTCTCAAAGACCTAAAGACAGACATACCATTTGACTCAGCAATCCCAAATCATTCTATTAAAATGCACATGTATGTTCATCGCAACACTATTAACAATAGCAAAGACATGGAATCAATCTAAATGCCTTTCAGTGACAGGCTGGATAAAGAAAATATGGCACATATACACCATGGGATACTATGCAGCCATAAAAAGAATGAGATAATGTCCTTTTCAGGGACATGGATGGAGCTGGAGGCCATTATCCTTAGCAAAGTAACACAGGAACAGAAAACCAAATACTGTATGTTCTCACTTATATGTGGGAGCTAAATGATGAGAACACATGGACACTTAGAGGGGAACAACACACACTGGGGCCTATTGGAAGGTGGAGGGTGGGAGGAGGGAGAGGATCAGGAAAAATAACTAATGGGTACTAGGCTTAATATCTAGGTGATGAAATAATTTGTACAACAACCCCGCCATGGCACAAGTTTCCCTATGTAACAAACCTGCATATGTACATTTGAACTTAAAAGTTAAAGAAATAAAGTTACACATTTCCTTCTGAGCACAGTTTTAGCTGTGACCCAGCACCATGTGATATTTTCATTACCATTCAGCCCAAGACAATTTCTAATGGCTATTTTTGATTTATTCCTTGACCAATGGGTGTTTTAGTTGCTCAATGTCCAAATATTCTGGTTAAAAAATTGTGTTGTTACTGATAGCTAGCTTAATTTCACTGTGGTTAGAGAACATACTCAGAATAATTTTAGTCATTTAGAATTTGTGGAGATTTGCTTTACGGCCCAGTATATGGCTAGTCTTGGTAAATAATCAATGTATACTTAAAAAGCAAGTATTTTCCATGGTTGGGTGTAGTGTTCTATATATGTAAGCTGCATCGAATTTGTTAATTGTATTGGTTGTTTAGATAGTCTATATCTTCATGACAGTTAATTTTATGTGCCGACTTGACTGGGCTAAGGGATGTCCAGATAGCTGGAAAACACTATTTCTGACATGCGTGTGATAGTGTTCCTGGAGGAGATTAGCATTTGACTCCATAGACACAGTAAAGAAGATCACCCTCACCAATGTGGGTGGACATCATCCAATACACTGAGGCCAAAATAGAAGAAAAAGTGGAAGGAGAGTGAATTTTCTCTCCCTGTCAGAACTGGGACATCCATCTCCTCTTGCCTTTGAATGTCAGCATTCCTGGTTCTCAGATCTGGTTCTCTGGACTTGGACCTGACAGATCATGAGCCTTATAATTACATGAGCCAATCTCCCATAATAAATCTCTTTTCATATACCTATCTATCTATCTATATATATATATTACGTGGTGCTGTTTCCCTGAAGAACTGGAATACAATCTTTATGCCTTTTTTGTGCATTTTTTGTTCTATTGGTTACTGAGTGAGAGGTATCTAAGTTTCCTTCCTTATTCGAAGTAGTACCTATACAAATGTACCTCTTTTAAAAAAATTTTTGAGATGGAGTCTCGCTTTATCACCCAGACCAGAGTGCAGTGGCGCAATCTCGGCTCACTGCAACCTCTGCTTCCCGGGTTCAAGCGATTCTCCTGCCTCAACCTCCTGAGTAGCTGGGACTACAAGTGTGCACTACCATGCCCAGCTAACTTTTTGTATTTTTAGTAGAGATGGGGTTTTACAATGTTGGTCAAGCTGGTCTTGAACTCTTGAGCTCAGGTAATCTGCCTGCCTCAGTCTCCCAAAGTGCTGGGATTATAGGCATGAGCCAGCACGCCCAGCCCTACAAATGTATCTTAAACATTTCATTTTATTTAATACCATGTCAATATACATTTAGTTGCTAATCTTTGGACATGGGGCCAATGTTTTTCCTTTGAGTATGGGTCCTCTCAAGATGGTTTCAGCCCAGGTATTCTCATGAGTCCACTTGACTGAAGAACACACTCATTCTTGTCCTGCCGAGCAGTGAGCGTGTGGGCTTCACTTGGGCCCCTCTCTATACTGCCAGCTCTCTCCAGTCCACCTGTCTCATGCATAAGTAGCCACCTTCAGGACAGGCAACCAGCAGGTGCTTCCTATGGTGCCATCTTCTCCAGCTCGGATGTCTTAGTTCATTTGTGTTGCTATAAAGTAATACCTAAAAGACTGGGTAATTTATAAAGAAAACAGGTTTATTTGACTCACAGTTCTGCAGGCTGTACAAGAAGCATGGCTCCAGTATGTGCTTCTGGTGAGGGCTTCAGGAAGCTTTCACTTACGTTGGAAGGTGGAGAGCCAAGGTGTGCAGAGATCTCATGGTGAGAGAGGAAACAAAGGAGAGTGGGAAGGTGTCAGGTCTTTTAAACAAGCAGCTCTTGGGGGGAACTAATAGAGTGAGAATTGAGAATTGACTCATAACCATGAGGATGAGACCAAGACATTCATGAGAGCTCCATCCCCATGAGCCAAACATCTTCCACAAGGCCCCACCTCCAACATTGGGGATAAAATTCCAACATGAGATTTGGAAGGACACGCATCCAAACCACAGGACCAGAAATGCATGTTTATTAATCTAAGCTACTTGGCTGGTTCTAAACTTCCGGTTCCATCAGAATCACCAGGAAGGCCCATTAAGCCATAGACTGCAGGGCCCTGCCCTCAGAGTTTCAGATTTTATTGGCTGGGATGAAGCTCAATACTTTGCATTTCTAATAATTCCCAAGTGGCGCTGATGTTGCTGATGCAGGGGCCACATTTTGGGAGTCGCTCATTTAGCCAATCGTCTTAATTTCACCAAGGACCTGTGATAGACCGCTTACTGCTGAGCAGTGTGCTGGGGGCTGAGGGGTCAGGGTGGGATTCTGGGGGAGTTTTCCTCACTCTTAAAAGGTTTTATAGAATAGCGGTTCACCACTTTTCCACCTCTGGATGTGGCTGTAAATGTGGCAGCAGGGGAACCATGGGGGGAGACATGGCCCCTGTGCGAAGATGGTGGGGGTGGCGGAAGATGCAGGGCGCTGGAGTCTTAGAGGATAAGGACGTTCAGCTGGTGAATGAACCAATCCCGAGATGCCTCACCTCTGGGCCTTGCATTCTTGAGCGAATACCTCCTGGTTGTTTAACTTTTTGATGGGTCTTCCATGACTTGCATTCTCACGGGAGTGGTTACAGAAACCAAACCCCGGCCATCTTCCTGGGCCTCTGTGGACCTCGAAGCTTGGGTGGGACTGTCTCCTTCTCCCTGTAGTGTTGCCCGGGATGCACGATGTCTCCCAAGTTTCACTGTTCCTAGACTCACCTGCCTGGAGTCCACCTGCTGCTGCTTTGTGTATTCACCTGCCTTGGCTCCCCTCCCCCCTGCAAATCTCAGCCCCCTCACTTTTTTTCCCACCAGAAATACATGCCAGTGGAACACTTCGGGTGTGTGTGTTGAATTTCTTGAAGATTTGCAGGTTGACAGGAAGTCTCAGCGTGTCCCGTGTGGACTCCCGTCCCTCTGGCTCTGCCTCAGCCTCTCTCTTCCACCCCTCTCCAGGAACACCCACACCAAGGGTCTTACCTTCTACCCAAAGCACTTCTTAAGGTATTTTCCCCACACAATGATCTTCCCCTTCCTAAGAGGAATTGGGGTGATAAAGGGTGTGAATGTTCCTTTATCACCTGTGACTGTGGGTCTCAGACCATGTGAACATTTGGGGCAAAGTTATCCCAGAAGCCTTGGGAAGTGCAGACTCCTCCAAAGAAGAGGAAGGTTGGTGTTGCCATGCTGTGTTCTAAGATGGTCTTTCTCTGGAGGTTTAGGGGTTCCCCCCAAAGCCCAATGATTAAACCTGTCATGACTGAGGAGGAGGCGGTGCTCAGACAAGAGGCTTGAAATAGGTGGAGAGGGAACCACCTCTCCTGGAGCTAGACCATGCATTCTTAATGGGGTGACAGCATTCCCAAGGGAGCAAATATTAGTTCTCAGGCAGGGGAGGGCAAAAGTTCTCACGTTTTTTATGCATAAAGCACAGATAGGCATTGCTGCATAAAAAGATTATCACATCTGTGGTATTACAATTGTATGGGTGCACAAATAAGAAAATAATGTCTGAAAAGGCTCCTAGTGGGGGTTGATAATTTTTTTAAAAGGCTGAGAAGCACTGATGCAGATGAGCTTCTGCCTTGGGGCAGCCTCAGCAGGCACCATCCAGTTGCTTGGGCCACATATCTAGGTCTCCTCCATTGCTCCTTTCCTCCAATAGGTTTCAAAGCCTCCAAAAATATATCCCCAACTATTCAAGGATCTGCTCGAATAGTGGCAACAGAAATGTTATTACCTGTAAAGCCTAAAATATTTACCATATAGCCTTTCATTGAAACAGTTTGTGAACCCCGGCTGTAAATTATGAGCTACTTATGGCAAAGGACGGGTCTTAGGCCAGGTGTGGTGGCTCACACCTATAATCCCCATACTTCTGGAGGCCAAGGTAGGAGAATTGCTTGAGTCTAAGAGTTTGAGACCAGCCTGGGCAACATAGTGAGAGCCTATCCCTATTAAAAAAAAAAAAAAAAGACGGGTCTTACTGAACTCTGGAGCTCAGCCCAGATACTGGTGAACAGAAGTCAGTAAGTGTTGAAAGAGGAATAGCTGAGTGGATGAGCAATGAATGCAGTGCAAGCTCATTTGGTAGAAGGTGCACCTGCACAGTGTGAGAACCAGAAAGCCATGGAGTTTTATTCTAAAAGCAGAGTCCACAGTTCAAGTTTAAATCCAGCAACACTATGTTTCCCTCTGCTCCTGCCCTCATTTCTGTTATGCCATATTTGAATAAGACAGAGCTTTTTCTTATGAGGCTCAGATGACTAAAAATGAATTCTCTAAGTACTGTTCTCCTTTGGGAATCTTGAGCAGAGTCTATGGCGGTGAGGAAAAAAAATCCCTGGTTTAACGATGATCCTCGGAAAGGGGAAGTGTTTGCTTCATAATGAAAAATTCCATGTGTTGCAGACTCATCTGGGGCTGTCCAGCTGGATTTAATTATGACTTTGCTGTGAAGAACTTGTTACTGGGCTTTTTTAGACCTTTAAAACTTTACAGCACCAAAAATTACAGTCATAGCTGCTAACAAGAGTTGAATGCTTGCTGTATTCAAGTTCTTGGCCAGCGGCTGACATGCATTACAAAAATCCTGAGGCTCAGAGAGGGAAGTGACCTGCTCAAGTTCACACAACTGTCAAGTGGTAGGGCAGGGATTTGACAAGATCTGATGGACTGCAAATTCTCTGTTCTTTTTACTCAATCAGGAGATTAATCATAGTAATAAAATAATACTAGTTGACTGTTAGGATACAGAGTCTATAGACCAGGCTCTTTTAGAATGAACAAAGAGAATAAGGAAGTTTCCTTAATCTAGGGGATGGGATTCCAGGATTTTAATGAAGTAAGAAGGAAATGAATTGGCTTTTAGGGTAGTGCCTCATGCATGAGCGTCACACTCGAAGGCTGGTCTTCATGACACCTGTCCCATCTGGATGGCAATTGGCCATCTTGCTTTCCTCCCCCTCTGTCCTACCACCCTACTGGTCATAGCCTGACCACTGCTCTGTCCTCACCAGGTCGCCCCTGGTTATCTTCCAACTGCCTCTCTTCCTTCAATTCTCACTGCTCCTGACCAAGCTCAGGCTGGAAACTTGGCCTCTCTCCTCCACCACCTCAAGTGCTTTGAAACTCTGTCTCACAGAAAGTCATCAATTCCACTCTTGGCTCTATCACCACTTTGCTTTATCACATGTTATTCTGCTGCCCAGTGACCATTCCCTGCTCTGGTGACAGCATGGTGTGTGCTTTTGGAGAGCTGCTACTCTCTAGCACTTATCCAGGGTGTTTGGGTGGCTCCGATGCTGTCTCAAACTCCAGGGCTGAGTCCAGGCCTGTCTGGTCAGCCTCTGTCTATAGTGACAGAGGTTCATGGATGGAGACATGACCCAAGACAGATCACGGGGACTCAGTTCTGGGACTTTTGTTGCAGCTGTTGGAAAACTTCTCTTTTGTACATTGGAGCTTCCTGAAGCATCAGTGACATAAACCTGAATCTAAATAAAGTCAGCCTAGAGGAAAACAGAGCTGAGAAGTGGAGAGAGCCACCATGATCCAGCGATTCCTGAGGCTAAGATACTCCCTGCATTTCCAAATACCAGAACCAATAAATCCCGTCACCTCGGTTTAACTGGGTTTCTGTCCATTTATTAGTTGTGACTAATGAGGAAATGGAATGGCATTCTCTCTCTCTATTTCAGTTTCTTCAAAAAGAAAAAAAAATTATGGTTCTTTGTCCAATGAATTACAATGTTGAAGCTGTAAAATTAAAACTAAAATAATTTTGCTAAATTATTTAATCAAAATTTATGTTCTCTATAACTGCTATATAAATGTATTACAATACATATTCTCATGTATGAACCAAGTTATAGATGTATTTATAGGTTAACATATATGAATATTAGGCCCCTGGAATTGTAATAGACAGGTGAGTAAGCTTGTTCTAATCACAAGGAGCCCTTTCTCCAACGTGGCAACACAGGGAAATCAGCAAGTACTTTCCGATGTAATGGGTGCTGTGATGGAGGTGGGGTGAGGGGGGAGGGTGTCTGAACTAGACAGGCGTGATAGTGGAGAAAGGGGATGGAAGGCTATCTATGTGAACAAGAGGGATGGAAGACTATCTGAAGGATGAGGAAGAAAAGAAAAGAAATCCATTCAAGTGAGAACGGCTTGCATACTGCACCATGTGGCTGAAACCAGGCAAGCCCACCAGCGCATCTGGAGCCTACAGTGACTATAGCAGTTACCAGGCAGCCCCTGACAACGACGTTCCCTGGTCCACTGCCTGAGCTACAGAGAGACAGAAGGATACGCTTTAACAGCTCTCCATTGTCAAGATGATGCTCTCTTGCAACACTGGATTTTGAGAATATCCGCCCCTAACGGTGCAAATTCACCAAAAGCCCAGCCTGAGAATGTATGTCTGTCTGACACATAGATGCCTCACAAATATTTGTTGAGTGATGAAAGCTAAGAATATGTTCCAAAAATTGTTCTAAAATTAAACTTCATTTAAAATTCATATCTAGTAGCTATTAGCTCTTTCATAGTCACCCCACTTTCTTTTTTCTTTACTTACCTGAAATGTACACATTTACGAGATTTTAAAAGGATCATGGATATTCAGTTATTAAACTCCCCCTCTTCGAATATTTTACCTTCATAGTAGCTGAGGAAGTCTGGATAAAATAAGGAGAAAAAGGAAGACATTTTATACTTATTAAGCATTACTGTATGGATCTGTGGATGCTATGATATTTAATTCTCATCACCACCCTGGAAGTAGGAAGTGTTCTCCTGGATTTACAGACAAAGAAATGGAGGGGGTCAGGGTCACAGGTGGTAAGGGGAGGGCTTGTATCAAAACTCTGACTCAGCCGGGTGCAGTGGCTCATGCCTGTAATCCCAGCACTTTGGAGGTCAAGGTGGGCAGATCATGAAGTCAGGAGATTGAGACCATCCTGGCTAACATGGTGAGACCTTGTCTCTACTAAAAATACAAAAATTAGCCAGGTGTGGTGGCATGTGCCTGTAGTCCCAGCTACTTCAGAGGCTGAGGCAGGAGAATCGCTTGAACCAGGAAGGTGGAGGTTGCAGTGAGCCAAGATCGTGCTATTGTACTCCATCCTGGGTGACAGAGCAAGACTCCGCCTCAAAAAAAAAAAAAAAAAAAAAAAAAAAAAGGGGTGGGAGCAGGAGGGAAATATCTTCAGCTCATGTGGAACAATATGTTAAAAAGCCTTTTAACTTCCCCTAGTCTAGCAGCGCTGAGGCAAGTTTTCCCCCGTAATGTCATATATTGTTGAATATGAGGTGAGTCTTTCCTTGCTGTGATGCTTAATTTTTTTTTTTTTGAGATGGAGTCTCACTCTGTTGCCAGGTTGGAGTGCAATGGTGTGATCTCAGCTCACTGCAACCTCTGCCTACTGGGTTCAAGCGATTCTCCTGCCTCAGCCTCCTGAGTAGCTGGGACTACCGGCATGTGCCACCATGCCCAGCTAATTTTTGTATTTGTAGTAGAGAAGGGGTTTCACCATGTTGGCCAGGATGGTCTTGATCTCCTGACCTCGTGATCTGTCTGCCTCAGCCTCTCAAAGTGCTGGGGTTACAGGCACAAGCCACTGCACCTGGTCTGTGATGGTTAATTTTATGTGTCAACATGGCCGGGCTGTGGTGCCCACTAATTTGGTGAAATGCCAGCCTAAGCGTTGTTGCGAAGGTATTTTTTAGATGTGATTAACATTTAAATCAGTGGACTTCGAGTGAAGCCAATTAGCCTCTGTAATGTAGGTGGGCTTCATCCAACCAGTTGAAGGCCTTATGAGAAAAAGACAGATTTTCTGGAGGAAGAAGAAATTGTCCATAAGAGGGCAAGGGTTTACAGATTGCTACTTTGTGGAATTCAGACTCCATATTGCAGGATTAACTCTCACCTAAGTCTGCAGCCTGCTGGCCTGCCCTATAGATTTTAGACTTTCCAGCCTCCACAATATCATAAACCATATTTTAAAATCTCTCTATAAATACATGTTCTGTTTCTCTGGAGAACCTGACTTGTATACCCCTTAAAAATGTCAGAGAAGATAATACAAAATATTTAGTTTGGAGTCCCCCTGAAATTATTTAATTAATTAATTTATTCATTTATTTATTTTTCTAGGGATGAGATCTTCCTATGTTGCCCAGGCTGGTTTCAAACTTTTGGGTTCAAGTGATTCTCCCACCTCAGACCCTCAAAATGCTGGGATTATAGGTGTGAGCCACTGTGCTAGCCCCCAAA